CCTGAGCCTTCTTTTCTCAAGGCTGAACAAACCCACTTCTCTCAGTCTGTCCTCATAAGGCAGGCTTCCCAGTCCTTGGATCATCTCAGTGGCCCTCCTTTCATCCCTCTCCAGCCTGTCCACATCTATTTTGTATAGCAGGGACAAAACTGAATGCAGTATTCCAGGTGTGACCTGACAAGTTAAGAGTGGAGTGGGATAATACCTGCCTCTGCTGGTAGTCCCCTTGTTGATATAAACCAGCATCCTGTTGGCTTTCTTTGTTACAGCAGCCCACTGTTCACTTGTATTGATCTTATTGTCCACCAGAAGCCCCAGGTCCCTTTCCATGGAGCTGTTCCCCAGCTGGGTAGATCCCAGCCTGTGCTGCACTCTTAGATTGTGTTTACCCAGGTGCAAGACTTTCTTTCAGATAGGCCATCTCCCAAGTTTGTAGCCAGAGAATCCAACATAGACTATGCCAGTTTGATTTAAAGCCTGGCCAGCATCCTCAGCCAATACTTACCCTGGGGAGGTCAAATGAAGGAGTGTGCAAACCAGTTTGATCATGTTTTAAACTTTTAACAAAGCATCAAGATTTTTTCCACTAATCTTATAATTTATGTTATAAAATATTGTATCAAATTTAACTAGGAATCCTATTTTGTCTGCATCTTGTCCATGAGGAAATATGTGTCAATTTGGTGTGAATATGTTTTGTGCAGTTTCCCCCTTCTGTTTAGACAGAGCTCTTATTTATCCTGTTTAAGTCACCTACATGCAATATGTGCAATATGTGTGCTCAAGATCACTCACTTGGTATTCTTTACATGTCTAGAAAGTCTCTATGTGAGTTTACTCTGGCATTTAGAAAGACAAATCTTATTCAGTAGCTTACCTGCAAAGCCCTACACTGACAAGTGCAGACTCAACATTTTAGTGATCTCTAAGGTCTGGGACTCACTTAATGGATATCTTGACTTTTTATGACCACATGAAAAAAAAAGTCCTCTCTTTTTTAACTGTATCCTAGCAGGTCTGCAGAATATCTCTCTAGAAGTCCACTTATTATATGATTATATTAAATTATGCCAACTTAATTAAGAAATATGGGTTATGCTGTCACCCTGTCTACCCTTGTGTTAATCATCCTGTGGGCTTCTCTGTGGGTCCATGCATAGATCTCTAAATTCCCTTTAAGTGGGGGCAAAGTTAATTAGGTAATGTAAATTGGGATAGAAGAGACAAATTAATGACAGTCTTGAGGAAAAGAAGCAGAATCTTTGTACTTTTTATTTGACAACCGACAGCTGAACGTGTTCATCTGACTTGTGACTTAGCATAGCACTTTGATCTCTTCTCCAGGGTGGGGACCATCACAGGTTCTGTGGGGTGAGTTCACACATGTTCTATAGGGAAGGTTAGGAAGAAAAAAACAGAAAATTTGCAAGTGGCCAGGCTTCACCATTTTAATGTGGTAAATAACTTGCGATGAATTATATAATCCTTGGTCTGCTAATGGCAATTTAGCCTGTGTTTTATGTAACAGTGACTCATCTCAGGTGGACAGTTGTGTGCTTTAGCAGCCTTTCTTGGTGATGGTGGAATTTGATAATTTTAAATTTTGGGGCCATGTGAAAATTAGTCTGCTTTCAAATCTGTCTTTCCTCTGAAAAAATAAAGATATAAACAAGTATCCCAAGCATTCTAGTTAGTCTTAACATTATGAATGATTTCTTCTAACCTTAAAGGTTAACAGCTTTGAGTACATTTAGAAGTTTGCGATATATTGCACAGGGTTTACATTCCCTCTTACTTCTTCATCATATAGATGTGTGGCACTATCCTACCCAGGATCCAGACAAAATTGTCTATCAGTTTCTTTATCATCTGAAAATAAAACAGGACATTCTTACATTATAGTGTTTACTACACTGCAATACACTGTCAATTAGTGGCATTTTGATTGAATCATACATTTTTTTTGCTTTTCCATACAAAAAATAACACAGACACTTTAGACATGTCTGCACCCTTTTTGAGCACTCTCCAGATTTTCTGACCCAATGTGGATTAAAGATTACTCACCATGTTATGCAATTGCTTTTCTGTTCAAGTGGGTCTGCTGCGTGCTAAACTGCTTTGTGAAAGCTGTGGATATCCGTACTTTCAGTATCACACTTTCACTGAAATAATGATAATTTCTGGAAATGTTGCTCTTGACAATAAGGGGCATTTGAAAAGTGAAAATTAAATCCTTGGTTGATTACAGTACATTAAATTAGTATTTCATAATGTTTCCTCTAAAAAATAACAAGGTACGCTATTTTATGAGCGTTCTCCAATGAAATGCAGTCCAGCAAGAGCTCAAGTAGAATGAAGGTTGAACATTAAAAGAGTGGGGTCATGTTATTTTATAGAAAAGAAAAAAACAAAAACAAATGCCAGAGCAGAAAGCACAGAAACATGTACTTGTTGCCTCTTACAAGTGCATCACCACTCAAGAGGTAGCAAACAGGAGCACTGAATAAGAAGAGCAAGAAAGTACCACGTCCCATAAGGAAGCACAGAAGAGATTTTAAGGATCATCCTGTTTTCATGATTTTGTCAATCTGCACTTTGACAGTTAATAACTGTGTTGTAGTAATTGCCTGGGAATTTGAAGCGCTGATGAATTCTATGTGCATTTGTGTCATATGCTGAGCATTAAGAGTGTTTGTCACTGACAGATGCTTATAATTCTAAAAAAGAACTAGCTCTACTTTATCTAGCTTATTTACAGGTAGAAACAATATAGCATATTTGTTCCTTGTCCAGTGCTGCTGCTACATGTAAACCTTTACCTCTCCAGGTCCCTTTCCTTTCCTCTTCTGTCCCTTCATAATTTCCAGTTGTGGGAATTAGACTACATCAGTAAAACATGGGTTTTCAAATTGATTTTAAATACAGTTTCTGTGTATAATTTGATTGCTCAAAAAACAAACTCATTTCTAAGAAATCCTTTGTTTGCTTTTTGGCTAAACAACCTGAGTAACAGATAGAGTGGGAAGGCATGAGGAAGGCTAACAATTCACTTGAGGCTTTAGGCTCTTCCACCTTTGCAGAAGTCAGTCAGATGATTAACACAGTATTCCTTGCTCTAGACAGCTGTGCCTCTTTTAAGTGTCAAAACAGAAGAGAAAATGGAGTAGCTATACACAAAAAGTAAAAATATTCATTATAAAAGGGAAGAAAGTAACAGATTTTACTGAGGAACAGGCAAGCAAGGTGCAACACAGTAGATAATACCATTTCACAGAATTTGAAGACAAAGAGCATAATTTTTCTGAAGTGAGGTAGAATGCATATTCATACTATGGCTGCATAAGTGAGAGACAAAAGGAAAAGATGGATGTGGCTTATCTTCTGCTGAAGCCTTTGTGTAGCTGTCTGAATCATCAAGCAATCCTGATGGGAAATAATAGTCATGGGCATTTCCTGATGTCTGCATGAGCCAATGAAAGCATGAAGTACTAAACCCAGGTGGTCATTAATTCTCCTGTTAATGCCCTGGGCTGATTCATGATATCTACAACAGCCAATTGGATTTGGCTTCATTGGGCAATTAAAGCCTCTGAGTTCCTCCAATGGTGCTACGTTTCTTTCAATTTGATATGAGAACCAGGCATACATACTTTCCAACCAGGATGGGACTGTGGTTTCACCTGAAACAATACCTTATTCCAACCACTCCTGCAAAGGTGTTAAAAGTACAGTCTTCTTCCATAGGATCTGTAAAAATCCACTTTTGTAATTTCCACTAACAGGAATAAAAGAGATGGTAATAAAAAGTTACACAGATATTTAAGCATTATGATAATTTTGAATACTGGGGAGTTTTGTTTTGTCCTTACATGCTCTTTGGCTGTACATACTACTTTTTTATTAGGTTCTTCCAAAACCTGCAAAAACGTTATTGTCTTGTGGACAGTACATAGATTATGAGAATGATGTTATAGCAGCTCAAAAACAAATGATATTTCTTTGTTTATCAGAAAGCCTTTTTCTGTTCAAATTTTCATGGACTTGAAATCTGTTGTTAAATGCATCATTATGCTTAAATATCATCGAAATAGCACCAAAGCAATGGTAGTATCTGCTGAAAGCTGCAACTTGTAACTCATCACAATAAATTTACTGTAGGAAAATACAGGTGAATTAAAAACACAGACATTTTTGTTTTCAGAAAATTTCTTTTCAGCTTGATTGCTGCCATATACTAGATATTGTGACTGAAAAGTCTTAAGTTTTCTTTATCAGTGTGGTCCCCTGGAGAGATGTAACTCCATATCCTCAGTGTTACAGATGCTGCTCTTAAGCTCAACAGCCCTTCAAGCCTACTTGTATTTTCAAGGCTGTATTTTTTGGAAACCATTTCAAGTGGCAGGTTTCCGTGCTGAAGTGAAGGAACCTCTCTTTGCCTTCCTCGCTTCTGCCCTACAGTGCGTCATCCTAGAACCTTGTCCATACGTCATCCGTGGTGAGGGTGAGGTTGCCACAGCAACGGCACACACTTGGTCACACACACCCCGCCCCCCGATAGCTACAGAAGTGTGAGTCAGTTTTAAAGTTTTACAAGGTTTTCATTTGACTGCGATGCACTGCCCAGCCATCTGCAGTTCTACGTTCTGCACTCACAAATCTGCTGGTAGCCCTTCATGGGGTTGCTTTTGGTGTTTTTACCTCCATCCTTTGGGATGAAATCTCTGCAGATCAATCCTGGGCGGTCGATCACCAGCCCAACCCACACTTGTAGAAACCCTCTGGTTCATCGGCCATCCCACTGACACACCAGGCAGCTGGGCTATAACTAAGTTGATATTTACTTTTCAAAGAATGCGTAAAGCAGGGGTAGAGAGTAAACTGCAGAAGAATAAAACTGGAATTACCTATGATGCATTGTATAACCTGATCTTTCTGTTAAAAGCAGTCACTTAAGTTTCCAGTAGTACCTAACTTACAACTCTGCTCATTTTTTTCAGACATGGAGATGACTTGATTGTGACACCATTTGCCCAGGTAGGCACAATTCTGCCATATTTCTCATATAATCTTGTAATTCAAAAGACAAATACATTGTTTTCCATTGTTAATATTACATAACATGTTTGCTTGAAATAGGTAAAAAACTGTTTAAGCAGAAGCCATAAACCTCCCACTCTCGTTATCTCTTGCTTAATGCTTTTTAATTATCTGAAATGTTGAAGTGCAACAACAAAATAAACACCTCTGATACCTTTTCAAATGCTGTAGCAGACAGCCATGATGAATCACAGAATCATAGAATCTGTGTTCTCTGTTATTCCCCTAGTTTTTGTAATTACAAGTTCTCTTTTTGAACATCTTTTATGCATTCAATGCAACATAATTTTTAGATGCAAGATAAATTTTACCCAGAATAGGGTTATATACTATATATATAACCCAGAATACTTACACTGCTTTGCAAAACCATCTCTGTTTTTTACATTCAGATTCTGTTTTATAACATATCCGTTCAAAATTCTACATAATTTAGATCAAAACTCCACAATTTTTAGCAATACAGCTGTCTTACTGTGTATGAAAAGTTAAAATTCCTGAACTCATAATAGTGAGTTTTAACCTGTAATAGGAATGAAAGTTAATATATTGTAACTACAGGGGTAAAAATAAATCTGGAAATTGTATGTGATTGAACATAAAAGGAAAGAGACCATAAATGGAAAGAGACCATAAATGGGTCACAAAGCAGTCTTAACTGTTAAAAAGGTATCCAACTTCAGTCTGAATATGCAGGTTGATTTAGTCTAGTGAAAAGTTGTTAAAATTATTAACATTAATTTAATAGTTTATATTTAATTATATTTTAAACACATACCCTTTATAAAACTCTATGATCAAACCCTTAATATGAAGAATACCTTCATCATATATTAACAGAGTAAATATTAAGCCAGAGCCTTTTCTAAGAATACTTTAAGATCTCTCAAACGGTAACCATACTTTAACAGTTATGGAAATGAATAAATTACAGAAAAAGCAAGTAAAAAAATAAAATAAAACCATTTCTGGTTTTAGTTCCTCAGAAAACATAATAACCCTAAATCTTGAGCACAGAAAAAAACACAAATAGTATAGTGGTCAAGCAATCCAATAATATCTACTATAGCTGAGTTCATATTCATTGTCATCTGAATTTTTATTACTGATTATGCCACATAGATAGGGTAGGTTATAGGATGCCTAGAAAACCAGCAAATATTACACTCCCATTTATTTTTTTTTCCCCTGGGACAATACACCCTATTTGTTTCAAGGGCAGTTTCATATTCTTATTGGTGTTGACGGATGTGCTTCAGCAATTATAGCAGGAGCACCTGAATGTTACTGCTATTTGCACCAAAGTGCCATAACTGATTATTTGAGAGCTTTTAGTATTTCAGTGCAAAGCCCTGTTAGCACTGTTTTAAATGAACCTGTTTTCATTTGTATTGAACAGGAGAAAGAGCACTCAGAGGGTGGGTTATCCCATGTCACATTCCCTGGCAGGAGGAATTGAGATGCAGTTGAGAGACTGCCTAATAGAGGGGAAATGACAGCTGACTGACTCTTAGGAAAAACGTAGCCCTTCCCTTAAAGTTACTTGAATATGCAATATCCCATCTCCCAGTGGGGCCTGCTCACAGACTGCATATGCAGCTAAGCACAGGACCCATCCCTTTGACTTATGTTTACCAGTGTTACGATCTCAGTCAGAACTTCAGAAACTGGATCCCATGTGCCAATCTCTAAGCATCTTACAAACTACACTTTTAATATCTTCCTAGAGCAATACTTCACCATGAAGATGCATTTTTATGTTGTAAGCAGCAAAAGTGCTGTTTTAATCTGTTTAGGGCTTCCTGGTGGCAGTAAATCATGACACGCAGAGCACAGGTTCCAGTTACTTCAAACCATCTGTATTTACTTCAATCGACCAGGAGAATTGTTTCATCTGATCATGAGCCCCCTGGTGGTAATAGTTCCAGTTTTAGCTTTTTTGTCTCTAGTCAGTGTGGCTGCATTTGAAAACTGGAGGCAGGGTGGCATGATGTGTCCCTCACATAGAATCCAGCCTGAGGACTAAGTTACTTTGTTATTTTTACCGGAAAGGGAATTTTATAAGCTGAAATTAAAAAAAATCTATCACAAGGATATTATTAGTTGCACTTCCCTATATTGTAATAACACAGCAACTGCTGTAATTTAATTACTCATAGAATTTAGCTTTTCAAAATAAAATCATTTGGGTGATTTAAAATTTAAAGATGAATTCTCTAGGTTTTTTATCATTAAAAAGGTTTGATTTTTTAATTCACTTGCAATTATTTGTATATAATGATTTTGAGAATAATATTATTTACTTAGAAATTAAACCTGTAGTGGTTTGCAGGTGACTGGTTGCTTTTTGCTCACAAATCGTAACTCGAGAAACGTCAAGCACAAGTAAAACCTCTGTGAACAGAGAAACTTACGTAAAGCAAATGATAATGAAAAATTGAAATATTATGTACTTATAGTATAATAGCTTTATAAATTTTAATATCTGTATGCAATAAATCAAGTGGTTTAGCTCCACTGTAGCCAATGGCCTAAGTTTTTGTTGCTGCAATGATATGCATGTGGGGATGCCTTACACTTGCAGAACTGTGAAAATATGTGCATGAATGCTAAAGCAGCTGGAATGCTGAGCAGATACTAGACATTTCACCCTTGAACTTACAGTTATCTCACCTGCCAGAAGAACAAATCGAAGGACATACACACCAAACAGTTGAATCTCTGCTTTCTGAAAAAGGAGAGATTCATAATACCTCAGACAGGGGAAAAATCTGCTCAATGTGCGTAGTAGTGGGCGGGCTAAAGAGACTGCCCCTTAGCTCTTCAGGGACCAAAGCATGGGTCCAGCAAAGCTCATTAACCTCCACTCATAGCTGGCCCTGAACAGCCTTACAGCTCTGCACCCTTCTTGCCCCAGCACCTCACATACTAAGTGTCCTGTGATTTCAGATCCAGCACATACCTCAGGGTTCATGTTTTCAGGTGGCATTGTACCTAGCTGGGTACCCTTTCTGAAACAGCCCTGTGCAGCACGTGCTGAGTTGTTCATTCCAGAGTCCAGCAGAAGCAGAGCTAATAGGCATGGCTGTACCTGAGATCGCTCACCAAGGAGTCAGTTAGTTACCTTCATACATGTTCCCAGTTTTCAATGCACCTGAAAAAAATATACAGCAAATTTGAGTACAGCAGGGCTTACTGAGTAGGAACTTGCAGCCAGGAAAACCAACTGCATATTTTCATGGCCTGAGACTGTTCTGGGAGCCACATAGATATGTTTCTCTCATAATACTAGCACAGCAAGCCATCTCATCATTCTGCTACATGTAAACTGAATCCAGGCAGATTGACCAAAGATAACTGAAAATGGACTGCAGTAACTAAAAATGTGTGTCTTACCTTAATAGGCCCAGCTTTCCAACTTTATTCCATTTATGCTTTCCTTCCTCCTTCAATTCATCCTTTCCTTTTACTTCATACTTTCCATACTGCAGCAGTTTTGCTTTGTATTTTGTGCATTAATTTTTGAACTTTTGAACTCCAGGATCTTCTTTCCCCTTCTGATCAGTTCATGCCTGATTTCCATCTGTGTATATTGAACACCTAAATACAACATTTAGTAGCGTCAGTGTATCCTGGACATTCAAATTTGATGGCATATATAATTATTTTTATTTCATGGTGAATGAGAAATATGTGAGCTTACCTCCTGATATTTGGAAAGAAAAACATAATGAAATTAATAGTCTAATTATGCAACAAATGTATTTTGATTATCTTAAGTCATTTGAGAACTACCTACAGTAGCTTGAACACTTCCAGTCACTATTATCTCCTGAATATTTTCTGTCTGTTACAAGCTTTCACTAAATATTCTTTTCTTTTCAGCCCCCTGCTTCCTTCCTACCTCATGTGTAAACTGAAGCAGCTATGGAAAGATGGTTGTATCCTCCTCAACTCCTAGCTCTGGAACCCAAATTCCCATTTCCACCTTTGCTATTCCTACAGTGGGTTCACCAGGGAACCAGCCTGGTTTCGGCTGAGAAACAACAATGAGCAACTCCCGCAAAGGCACATCATTAAAGAGTGTTGCTGCTTCCTTCCATTCCCAGTCTGGTTCCAGACAACTTGTGGTTCCTCTCTGACATAAGCTGAACTACCTCTCCCTAGTTGGAGAGGTGCATCTTACTATCCTTACATGGCACAAAATTTGTTGCATTTATCCAGCTAGCTTCAGAAGAGAGTGCCTATGCCACTTACAATGAGAAGACAGTCATCTGCTGCTTCCACTAGGTGCTGTCTTGGATGAAATTAAGCCCAGAAAAGAAGTAGCTCATTTATACTACCTTTCCAGTGTGCAAAGTTTGTAAAAGCTTGCAGGCTTTCGTGCCTGCTCAGGTGCTACCTTCCTCTTAACTCTGGTCTTCTGACTAAGGACCCAAATCAACTGCACCATTTAAAGGAGCAGTTTTTATTTTTCCTGGCAGTCTAGACAATCTTATTCCTTTGTCCTTTAAGGTCTGTGTGGGCTGAACTGCAAATGGAGATTTTGTAATCATTTCTTATGCATGAAGTAGTAGTCTTGAATGGGCTATTATTTTCCCAACATGAATGCTTTTATGGTAATTTTAAAGAACTAAGTAGTATTCTGTGAAAAACTTTCCTCCTCTTCAAGTAAGCTTGCCTTTACACAAAATTATGAGTTGTTCGTGGGGGAAAAAAGAAATAAAATACTGCCCTTGTATTAAAGACCTGTTATTGTTAAGTAATGATCAAAGACTTCGGACAAATCAGTTCTGAAAACAATTTACAGTTTTTTTTGCAATGTCCTTTCCTTTTATTTTCAGCACAGCTCAGCAGAGGTATGTCAGTCTCACCTATGCATAAACTGTAGACTGAAACTGGTTTGTTTGTTCCAGGTGCTGGCCAGCCTGCGTACCGTACGGAATAACTTTGCCGCATTAACCAATTTACAAGATCGGGCACCTAGCAAGTGAGTGTCTATTCTTGCCCACTGAACTTTTTGCAGTGATACTGTTTGAATGTAAACTAAGAATAACAACTTGATGTTAGGGATTTCAGTCTGTGCCACCAAACCTGCATAAAACATGTGGATGAGTAAAATTTATTAATCTCTTGATAGCTGAAACAATAGCCCCCTTGCCTACTAATTGCTCTTGCATTGCTGTCCTTGCATAAACTTGCAAGTGGTTTTGTGCAATTTGTATGATTTTCAATAAATTAGTCATATGTCAAAGATCATTCAAAGATGATCATTCGGACAGAGTCTGAGTCTTGCAAATGAACCAAAGTGAGCAGACAACTACACTCATTGTGAGCTACTTGCATGATCTGAACCTAGAGCTCTGCCTAATTTATCCAAAATAATGACATTCCACTATTCACAGTGGTTCATGATTATAAATGAGATGTTATAAATACGCTCTTTCTCCAAGGATGTTACAGAATCACACTTAACATTAACATTAATTACACTGTTAAATTTTGTAGTGTAGTCATTTACCTCACCTAAAATGTGCGCCTCTGGAACTTAGAAGTATTTAGCATTCCAAAATCAACTTCCCACCACTGCATATGCAGTGCCCCTAAAAGATATTTCCAGCCCCTTTGGCTGGAGTACGCAGACCCTATGTAGACCCTGCTTGCAGTCATCCACACATCCCTACACAGCTGTGTCAGTCCAGCAACTTTTAGCTTTCTTCAGTGGGCAAAGCACTCCACTGAGCTGTTTGCCCTAAAGATTGTTGTGACAGGTATGTGCAAAATAACATGTGAAATGTATATGCAAAATAATAAAATGAAAAATAATAATAGGAAAGGCATTTCAAGAAAGAGAATGTGGCAAGTGCAAGCCATGTTAGAATAATGATAACTATCTATGTAAATTAAACTTAAATTCAAGTATAAGCTCTAAGTATGATAAAGTAGGTTTTTTAACTTGTAAATTCCTAAAATACTGCTGAGAACTTTTTTTCCTTTTTTTTTTCAATGCCAGGGTATTCCAGTCCCAAATAATTTCCCAAGGAAATGTATTTTCTATTATATTCTTCAAGGATTCAGTCATCTCTGTGTTTATCAGGCATATACCTTTTTTTTCTTTTAAACAGACGTTCACCAATGTGTAACCAACCATCTATTAACAAAGCAAGCTTGACAGGTAAGAATTAGTATGACTAAAATTCCTCTGTGAAACCATCATGGGTTTCTAAATTTAATATGTACTTATAAAAAATCTTACTGAAAACTGTATTTTGTAATACTAACCTTGTGTTATTTCATACCCTTGTATCTGTTTTTTTCAAATAGGATTTTAGTCATGGTGACTTTCGACATTGCATCATATTAATTTTCTGATTTCTGTCTTATTATGCTTGTTTTAATTTAGATCCTTTCCAAATTCTTTTTCCTTATATACCAGTATGTGACTGTGTCATGATTACCTTCATTAGTAAGTTTTTGTAATGAAATGTAGTAGAAATAACTGGCATGAGGAATTAATTGATCTTTCATTTGGGTCATAGAGTCCTGTAGCTATATTGAGGCAAAGTCTTGTATTATGAGCCCTTAGGCAATAAGGAAAAATTTCCTGAACTGACTTTTCTGATTTAGGATTGTGAATTTTATCTCTGTAACATTTGTAGATGTGTAAGAGACAAATAATTCCTTTGTAAAAGACACTATTATTTATAAAGAAAAAAATTGGAAACAGGACTGGCTTTGTAGGTTATGTTAACACTTCTGAAAGTGTAAACATAACCTACATAGCCTGTGGCACTTCTGGTTATTATTATGAAGATCTTGGAAATCTGCATGAGAATACCCTTTTTTTGACCTCATGTTTTTCACATCCTGTTAATCCATGCGTTAATACACTATGTAGTGTTCCAGGTAGTTACATTCTCTATGTTGGCAGAGTGAAAGAGCATTTGCTTTGACCCTTGCTGAAAGTATATAGATATTGACTAAAAAGGTAACTTATCATTTAAACCAAAAACTTAATGTTTCCAGAATTTTGAAATAGTTCTTATCTTTCTAACTGTATAATAGAAGAAAGAAATAGTACTTCAGCTGTTTTGAGGAGAAATGTGGCTTTGTCATGTTCAGTATTTTTTGTCTTTAGGCTCTGGAATGTTAACATTGTTAGTTTTTGTTGTTGGGTTGTTAGGTTTGTTGTTTGTTTTTTTTTCATCTAGATTCACACAATATCCATATTTTCTTCTAGAAGACCCCATCTTGGCAGTTCTGTACAATTTTATTCTCCTAGAAACCCATCATGTAATCTGAGCATTTGTGTGTAGGGCTCATCAGGGAACAGAAAATTAAATCTTTAAATCTGTTCTATAAACAGAAAAGCATCCTTAGTTAAGAATGTTCTGCAATCATACTTAAATTCATGGTAATTAAATAAATAGGAATGTGAGACAGATAAATACTTAGATCAATTAAAATCATAATCCTTTGTTAATGTATTCCTTTAACAGGTCATTTCGAGCGTTAGTTTCAAATTGCTTTCCATGAGACATTTCAGTTATTGATAGATGTTATGCCTATTTCTTCTAATCATGGTATTTGTCTCATACAACACAGTAATCCAGAAGTATGTTACCTTAACTGGAAATAGAGATACTGGAAAATACAGCTCTTTCTTCGACTCCAGGGGACTAACTTTGGAAAGCCTATAACACAGTAAAATCCCCAACAGTAAAAGAAAATGTGATATCCAGGAGAGAAGATATGCATGCATGTGAACACACAGCTAGCCTACCTTACATGCTTTCCCACAGTTGTTTGCCTGAGTTCAGCTTCTTCTCTCCAGCCAGAGAAGCTTCTCAGGCAGCGGGACCCAAGAAACACTCTGCTGGAAGACGCTGCTGCTCTCTTTAAATTCCCCCTGATCTGAAGGTTTCAGTTAATTCTCAGAGTGCACTCTATCTGTTAGAAGCAATAAATCATCTGAAATTTTAGTTTAGAAGAAAGGTGGTGCCACCAGTGCTGTGATTAATCTTGAAAATGTTTCTGTGCCAAGAAATTTAAAGGAAGCTAGAGAAGGCAAATAATAGTAAAGATAATTCAATGTTATGTAGTTTAATCTGATTTCTCAGAGATACTGCTGGAATAGCTGTGCTCAAATTGTCCATTGAACTGGTTGAGCTGAGCCCTGTGTGCATTGGATATAAGTGGCTAAAAGACTTTAATGATACAAGAAAGATATTAAGCCCTATAAAGCATAAAAATGGCTACAATTCATTTTGATAGTTGAGATTGAGGCTAGATACTATTTTGTCTGAACAGCATAGGCCATTCTTAGTCATAGACTGTTTTTGATATTTTCATAGCAACAAATTTCATGGCATAAGCACAGAAGTATGAGGCCTTTTCTGATGCATGTAAAATCCTAGTAAAACATGTTGCACTCCAGCACTGTGTTAAGAAGGAAGAGGTATTACTAATATTTCCCCTCCTCTTGACATAATGACTGAAAACACTTACAGGTGCAACTAAGCTTTCTGCATTCTGGGGGATGTTTGAAATGTAGCTTGTGCAGATCCTTCCTGCTGAGAAATCCTCCTGGTCGTGCTGTTCATGTCACGGAATATCTGGAACAGTACACCAGACAGGTAGAGCTCTATCACATTATCCCGATGGCTCAGCTAGCGATCTCTGGGAGAACTGATCACCATTGTAACAAACTGTGTAACAACAGAAACGTGTTTCGGAAGACTCTAAATGGGGAAAGTGAGGATCACAGAAAGCAAAAATGTAGCAAAAGGGAACTTCTGCAGAAGACGGGGAAAGTCATAAGGGAAAATAAGGGGTTTGGTAAAGCTAAGTGACTAAAGCAGCAAGAGCAAAATTCTTCCATTTACTATTTTAAGAATTTGCCCTGAGACATAAAGGAGAAAATGCATTAGCAAACAAGTAAGAAATTGTGGAATTGAGAAGTAAAGCAGTATCGGAATTAAATGTTCAAATTCTTAGAAGCAATGGCAACCATGGTGTCCTTAAAATTCGCAGTGATTTTTCAAATAAGTATGTAGATATTGATGATCAGTATATGGTCTGTTATATTCAGTATATCCACATAAATCTCTTCTGGAAACTGCATGGAAAAAAGCCAATGATTATCAATGGCATACTTGATCTTCAGTATCAGCCATGTATGCTATAGCATGCTGAGTGTTCTTTTGCAGACAAATTAGATAGGAAGTCAGAGCATTTAATGTAACAACAGACTAGATGATACTTTTCCTACTTGCTTTAGACATCTAAGATATCTATTTTCTCTATAGTCAGAGTGAATAAGCTGACATAATGTATGTTAGATGTTTTCTTTTGAGGGAGATTAATTGCTCCCTAAAGGTGCCATGAATGAATCCAGCCTGCGAGAACTCCCTGCTTGCACTGCACAGTACTTCCATGCGTGGTGGTCTGTATTTCAACCAGAAGAGAGGTTCCTCTCACAACAAGGCATACTTTCCACACAGTGATATGAATGATGTTTTATTTCAAGTTGATAATAATTTTCTTTAAATAAGTGAATTATAAATAATATAATTATAAATAAATTTCAAAAAAATGAAACTGTGACATAGGGATTAAGATAAAAAAAAAGTAAACAAGCTTTTTTACTAAAAGATTAGATATCTTTCAGTTGTTACAGTTCTAATATCTGCATTTCTAACTCAGAATAATTTGAACTAAGGAGGAACCATATAGTCTTTCTTGATATGTGTCAGATTTAAAACTGATAGATGTCCCAATTTCTTTTATTCTTTACTGTGGCTTGGATTCTACCAGAGCATAGGAAGGGATAAAGTAAACATGAGAACATGAGCTGACAAAAAAAAAATGCATGTACATTACAGATGTTAATTCATGTACTACTGGGGTAATTGCCACTAGCTTGGGAGGGGGTATATGGGATTGAGGGGATCCTAATGCCTACAAAAACACAGGCTTAAAAATAAAACATATTTTAACTTTTAACAAAAGTAAACTTGTAATGCACTATCAGTGTCACATTTTAAAGTGCTAAAGACCTTAGATTTTTTCAGCAGCCCTGGTCTAGTGGGCAGGTCCCAGAGGACTGGGAGTTGGCCAGTGTGACACCTCCCTACAAAAAGGGGAGGAAGGAAGACCCCAGAAACTACAAGCCTATCAGCCTGAGCTCAGTGGCAAGGAATGAAGCAGATGATCCTAAGTGTGTTCACACAGCACATGAAGGAAAACAGGGGGATCAGGCCCGGTCAGCATGCGTTCATGAAGGGCAGGTCCTGCTTAACCAACCTGGTCTTCTGCAATAACGTCACCTGTCTGGCTGATGAGGGAAAGGCTGTGGACATTGTCTTATTTGGACTTAAGTAAAGCATTTGACACTGTCTCCTACAGCAGTGGAGAAACTGGCTGCTCGTGGCCTGGATATATGGATTCTTCACCAGCTGGATGGTTGAGTCCAAAGAGTGGTGGTAAATGTTGTCATACTGAGTTGGTGACCGGTCACTAGTGGTGTCCCTCAGGGCTCGATGTCAGGACCAGTGGTACTTAGTATCTTTAGTGATGATGTGGATGAGGGGATTGAGAGCACCATCAGTAAATTTGCAGACAACACCAAGTTGGGTGGGAGTGTTGATCTGCTGAAGGGTAGGGAGGCTATGCAGAGGGATCTGGACAGGCTGGGTTGGTGGGCTGTGGCCAGGCTCAAGGGGGACCTTAATTACTCTCTACAACTACCTGAAAGGAGGTTGCAGCAAGGTGGGGTTCAGTCTCTTCTCACAAGTAACAAGTGATAGGACAAGAGGAAACAGACTCAAACTGCACCAGGGGAGGTTTTGACTGGATATTAGGAAAAATTTCTTCACTGAGAGGGTGGTCAGGCATTGGAACAGGCTGCCCAGGGAATGGTGGAATCACTGTTCATGGAAGTATTAAAAATCATGTAGATGAGGCCCTTAGTGTCATGGTTTAGTGGTGGACTTGGCAGTCCTGGGGTAAAGGTTGGACTTAATGATCTTGAAGGCCTTTTCCAACCTTATGATTATGTGATTTCATATCCAGATTTAGGCAGATGTAGAAAACTTGCTCTATTAAAGATGTAATTGCAGTATACATGTCACTACTCTAGATTTAGTCAGCAGGATTACATTTATAATGAGAACT